TAAGTATTATATTATGTTGCGAAAAAATCTCATTTTTGTTTTATCACGTTTTCATCGTATATTCTTTTAACAGTCGACAAAATGTGTGGCTCTTGATATTATTGATGTACAGAGAAATATTTGTTGAATTTGTTTTTAATTTATAATATTTGTATACCACTGAAGAGGACCATATTAAAGGTCGAAACGTTTGATTTGTTTTATATTTATATCTATATGTATTATTAAAAAAACCTAAAGTTACTTGAATTGTAATATTGACAAGAATACCTAATTAAACTTGTTAGCCCTCTTTTTATTATTTATGATTTTAAATCGTGAAGACGGTTAAGTTCTTTATTTTAATTTTGAATACATTTTATTTTGTATTATTGAATTAATCTAATGTTCTATTGCGCATGTACTTGTAAATAATTTTGTGTAAAATTTTGGCAATTTTTAATAATTTTATTCTTATATACTTTAACTATTACAGAATGGTTTAGTTCAATTATAATTCAAGACGTTCCTGCAAACGAGACTGCAAAGTAATAAGATTTGGATTCTGTTGAGCACCATTATTTGTCATTATTTTAATATAAATCATGAATATCAATTATACACAATTAATTATAAAGATGCATTATTTCTTTTTTATGGGAAGTAAGTAATTATCTTATATATATATGTATATATATATATATACATACATATGTGTGTGTGTGTGTGTGTGTTTAATATTTCATAGCAAACTTAAAGACATAAAAAAATTTAGCGTTATACCCACAATACAGAAAATTTAAATTTAGAGTTTTTATTTACAATATAGAAAATCTATATAATAAATATTTTTTAGTTGTAAGAGATATATATGAAGTAATTTGAAAAAATGTTAAATTTTTATTAGTTTAGAAAATTTAACTATTAAATTAATAAATCTAATTACAATTATTCTTCTTATTTTAGGTGCGGGTCCTTTTCTCCCATTTATACTAGTTTACGGAAAACAACTTGGTATTTCATCACTAATTATTGGTAGCATTACAGCAATTTTGCCTATATTGCGTCTAATAACAAAACCAATGTCCGGCTTCATTATGGATTATTTTCAAGCATGGAGAAAAGTGATCTTTCTAGCAATTTTTATTACATTAAGTGTCTGTTTCATGTCAATCTTTTTTTTACCGCCATTGCCGGGTCCAATACTTTTTGAAAATCATTTTCAAAATGTATCTTGTGAAACATTACCGTTTTGCAATATAGAATATGTGAGTTTTCATTTTTTCATCATTTTCGCGCAATTCACAATCTTTTATTAGATTTAATAAAATTTATATAATATTATTTGATAAAAACCTGATAAAACTCTATGTAAATTTTTGCGTTTATTTTTATATATTATTTTAAATAATTTAAAAATTTTTGGATGTAAAAAGTTTCTAAAATATATTTATACATATAATTTAAAATACATTGTAACACATGAAATATCTTTCCTTAAAAGTATA